ATACCGTTCTAAAGTAGCTAAGAACGGTAAGAGCAGCTAGAGGAGTAAGAGAACTCCTAAGACAGATTATCTTAGGTACCTAAAGAAGCAGATAGGTGGCCTGGAGGATTGAATGAGGCTTAAGAGAATGATATTGGCTATTGGAACAGTATTGAGGAATGATCAGCCAAGTTACCAACTAAGTGGAGGTGACTTATTTTATTACTCAACCCTGTGGTTAGAGTCTCCCAGAGATCTTAAAATGGCTAAAAGTGATAATGCTATTCCAGGGTCACTATGGATCCTGAAGAGGCTTACGGTAGAGTGCAGTAGCTCTCGAGGTCGCAGTAGACCGAGCCTAAGGCAAAGTGGCTAAGCTATAAGAGTAAGAATATAGTACCTCTTTGGGAAGATGAAAACCAATTCATAGAGAGTACCCATGACTTCCTTCCAGATAACTTTTTTATTGATTAGGCTGAGCTCAATTTTCTTTCAATTAATAGAGGAAAGTCAGAGTTAGAAAATTTAGAGCTATGAGACCTGAAACAAGAGGTATTCAAGCTAGCTCCAGATACAGAAAGAACCCCTTGTGATACAGTCACAGATTGATTATTGACAGGAAGATCCCTAAAAAGTGGCTAGAGTCAGGAATACTAGATGGAAAGACTAGACTAAAGGTTAAGATAGAAACCACAAAGAAATAGTTGTATGAAGTTAAGTCCAAGCAGGGACTAAACTGTAAATTCAGAAAGTTACGGCCAACAGGGGTAAAAGTAGAAAAGTATACAAAAAATTCCAAAAATCCCCAAAAATGGGAAATAATATTCTTAGGCTCGTTTGTGAAGAAAAATGATGAAAATGCCCCTGAGGCAGCTTAAATGGAATTTATAAGGTGATGGCCAGTAAAAAGTGTACTGTTTGAGGTAATTATTTAAAATAGCAACAGACCTAAAAAATGTACATAAAAATGAGGTTAAATGGTTGCAAGGTTTTACTAATTTATAAAATTAGTCCCATAACCAAAAGGCCAGTAGAATGGCTTTAATAAATTAAAAAGCTGATTATACTGATAAAAGAGTATTTTAGTAAATGATTTTTATGCAAGGCTTGAAGGAAGTGTTACAGCCTAAGAAAATTTATAGATATTCTCTAAAATAAAAGAGAATTTATGGAGTAGGCAAGAAAATTTTTTGAGCTCTAGAAAGCCATTAAGAAAGCTAGAGAAACATGGGCCAAATAAATTAGGAAGAAACTTAAGGTTTAAGTTCTGATATAATGGCTAGGATTTAATCTCCCTTCTCCTCCACTAAAATTGTGGCACTTGGCACCTTTTAGAAGAATGATGTAAGGATGATGCAAGAAGGTGATGCAATGATGATGCAAAAGTGCACTTGAAGTTCCAAGATTGCCCTTACTCTTTCTATTCGCTGTCAAGTTAGTCCATTCAAGCCAAAATTTTGGCTATAAATAGAGCCTCTCCTCCCCCTCCATTTCAGCCAACATGAGAATACTAGGAGAAACTCCTGTAATTTTATTTCTTGAAGCATAATCAAGAGGAGGACACCTATCTTTGATCAACTAAGCTTGGATTTAAGATTAGTAGGTTGTTCTATGTTGTTGCTTGCTTTGTATTCTTGAGTTTAATAGTTGAAAAATATAGAATCCCCTAAGGGGAGGTGCTGGCCGAAATTAATAAGAGTTAGGAGAGGATGATTTTGATGTTAAACTTGGTTAGAACACATTGATTAGAAGTTGTTTCAAGTGGATCTATGTTGAAATTGGAAGAATTGTATGATATGGTTATTAGGTATAGTGTTCGGCCAATATAAGATCTGTACCCTAGGATGAGATTTTAATGATTTTGATGCTTTTATTGTGTTTAAAATGAAAAATGGTGTAGAGTAAACTTAAAGAATAAGCATTGGAAGCATTAGAATTAAAGTTGGAATTTTTGAAGTTATGAACCCCCTATTCAGCCAAACTAATTTTTAGGGAAGGAGTTGTATTTTCATTAATCTAAGCTCATATTTGGTTTTCTTGGGCAAAATTATGAAGGATTGGCCTAAAGGAACAATTTTTACAAAGCTAGAAGAATAATCCAAAATTTAGAGAAAAAGTTGAGTTCAAGAGAGCTAGTCTTGAACTTCATGTAATCTAGTGATTCTAACTGAATGTACGCAGTGGAAGCGTGGTGGGCCCATAACCCATAGGTCCCAGGATCGAAACCTGGCTATGATACCAAAATATTACACCTTGTTATCAGATCGACTTAGGGTTCAATTAGAACTATTTTAGACCACATTGGATGGTCTTGGGCTGAATTTTTTTCACAAAAACATTGATTTTCGGATTTTTACTGTTGATTTAGTAAAAATCCAGTTTTCTGGTCCAACTTTAAAAAATTATAACTTAATCTAGAAAAATCAAAATGGAGTGGTTCAAAATTTTGCAAAAAGCTCTTTGAAATCTCTCACAGGGAAAAATAGTCTTATGAACCAATTCTATTTGAGAAAGTGTCAGGTTTTTGTGGAAGTCACTACTGTTATTTTGGTAAAAATCCTTTTTTCCAGATTTTGGACTTAACTTTAAAAAATCATTAAAAATCACACATTTGTCCATTTTTAATGTGTTACCTATCAAATTCAAACTTGAGACGTGACCTCTAAGCATGCCAAATTTCACAATTAAATTTGTTTCAGGAGCTCAATTAAAATATTGCTCAAAGTTGACAGCTTACTTAGGGTTACAGCACCAACCATGCATACTTATATATAACCAAAATAGAATTATTTTCTCATGATTCACCACCACAATTACTCTTGAATTTACAGCTTTCCTTTGGATGATTCAGGCCCTAAAATGTTGGATTATTTTGGGAGGGTGAGATTTTAATGAAATCCCAATAGCAAAATTAACCAACTATATCATCAACAAGCATCATCATTATGCATCACCATATTAACTACTATTGGTGAACTAGCATGCTTATCATTTGGCAAACCCAATCATGCAAAGGCCAAGGCAAGAAAGTGTAAAGAGTAGCCACATCACAATCAAGAAAGTTTATTGACATAATAGCAATTAATCATGCAATAATCAACGATGCAAGGTTAATGTTAGTAGTTAGGTTAAACTTTGCTACCTTACTCCAAAGACTTGAGCTTTCTTTGTTTTTCTTCCTTCCCTTCACAAATTTCAAACCCTAACCTGATAAACCATAAAAGGGGCAGTAAGATCATTAACCATTCCATAGAAAAATTAACAACATAACTCAAGAAATTCTTAAACCCTTTTAAAGCTTCTATCTTTGTCTTTTAATTTTTAGAGTTTGTGTTCTTTAACCCTAAAAATTCTCTCTTAACCTATTCCTACATAGTTTTTCATGTAGATTTCAAATATATATTTGGATTTAAGAAAATAAAACCCCTTCTTTCAGTTTTGAATTGACCAAACCAATAGGGTCTATTATCTAAAATTACAAATTTGATTCTAATGCTTCCAATACTTGTTCTTTAGGTTTATCCTACACTATTTTCTATTTTGCACACAATGGAAGCATCAAAACAATGAAAAACACATCCTAGGGTCTAGTTCTTGTCTTGGCCGAATTGGTCCTCACGAAAAACAACAAAAAAATCACTTCAAAAACAACCTACAATCACTTGAAACCACTTGGAACTATCATGCTTTGAAGTGTTCTAAGGAGATTGAACAACAAAACTTCCTCCCCTACAATATATATGTTTCAGCCAGCATCTAAAGAGAAGAGAAACTAGGATTTTTAACCATACAACTCAAGCAAACAAGGTAAGGAACAACTTAGAATAAAAAACTAACATTAAATCTCACTTATATGATCAAAGTTGCTTCCTTTTTCTTGATTTCCACTTGAAGCTCTCTCCTTTCCCTCTTGCTCTCTCCTTGGCCAAAATATTAGTCTGAAAAATGGGAGAGAAGAGCTCCCTTAATGAGCAAAATATCCCAACTACCATCATTAATGAAAATCTAAGTGTCATTACCCCTTTTACTCTTGCATTCTCTTTCTTAATTAACTAAATCCTATTGAAATTAATTACCAAAAGTCAAAATCCTCTCCATTTGAGGTGTGACACTTGAAAAATTCAAATCCTCTCCATTAAGGGCTTGACACATGGAAAATGTGAGCCATTTGAATTGCAAGACTCTGGTCTTCACTTATCGGTGCACTTTTACTTCAGTTTTAATTTCTTTTCTATAATTACAGTACTCTGGCCTTTATAATTATTTTTTCTTAGATCCATAATTTATTCTCCTCATTTTTCTCTTCCCAAAATGCCCTCTTTATCCATATCTCAAATCTCTATTAATTAAATAAAAAGAAAAACTATTTTCCTTTTCATTAGTGATTTTTCCACTTGTCAAAAGAATTAGAAAAAATCTTGGATAGTTGAGGGTCTCCTGTTAATTTCATAATCTCATATAATTTCTTGGGATATCATAGGATTTTTTTTTGGAATTTTATTCTCTTTCCAAGTATTTATTTGGAATTTTCCAAATAAAAGGCCTTAAATTAGCCTAAATCACCCTTAAATTCCTTTGTAATTTCTTCAAGGGTAATTTGGTCATAAAACCAATTATATATCCTCATATAATTCTCAAAGAACATTATTCTTATTTTTTCTTAATTTTTTGAGATTTGAAAATATTTTTCCATAATTATTTTTGACTAGTTTTCCTTAATTAGTCAAGTTTTCATAATGAACTTGGAAAATAATAATTATTATTATTTTCCATCAAAATTTTTCTGTTTCTCCTTATCATTTTTGGCCTTTAAATATTTAGAAATATCCTTATTCCTAATTACCATGTTATTGGATGTGACATTTCTTCCCCCTAAATAAATTTTGTTCTCAAAATTTAAAGCATATCTTAAAGAAAACGCTCGAGATACTTCCCTTTTGTTTCAATCTCCGTCTCCCATATAGCTTCCTTTAGTAAAAGACCCTCCCAAACTATTTTGACCAGTGGAATCTACTTGTTCCTCAGTTTTTGTCCTTTCGATCAATGATTCGCTCTGGTCCGACCTCAAAAGGCAAGTTGTCTCGGACCACATTGTCATCATGATTTATGAAATGTGTCGGGTCTGGGTAGTATTTCTTTAGTTGGGAGACATAGAAGACATTATGAATTTGACTTAAGTTTGGGGGAAGGGCCAACTTGTGTGCTACTAGTCCAGCTTTGGACAATATCTGAAACGGTCCAACATACTTCGAACATGACTTCTTAATCTTCAGGGATCGACTTACTCCTATTGTTGGTGACACTTTAAGGAAAACTTGATCACCAACTTCAAATTCTAGCAGTCTCCTTCTCATATCTACATAACTCTTCTGTCTACTTTGAGCTATTAAAAGTCTTTACTGAATAGCTTTAATTTGTTGGGAAGTCTAATCCACTATACCCGGACCAAAGATGCTTCTTTCACTAAGCTCTGTCTAACATAAGTGAGATCCACATTTTCTCCCATAGAGTGCTTTGTATGGCGCCATTGGAATGCTTGAATAGAAACTGTTATTATAGGTGATTCAACTAATGGTAAGTATGTATCCCATTTATTGCCAAAATTCAAAATGCAAGCACCTAGTATATCCTCCAATGTCTGAATCGTTCGTTCCATCTGCCCATCTGTCTGGGGATGGTAGGCTATGTTGAATCTGAGAGCAGTGTCCATTTCTTTCTATAGGGACCTCCAAAAATTAGAAGTAAATTTTAGGTCTCGGTCTGAAACAATACTACTTAGGACACCATGCAGCCTAAGAATCTCTTTGATGTAAAGTCTCGCTAACTTTTTTGGAGAATCTTTAACATTCATAGCGAGAAACTAAGCAGACTTAGTTAGACGGTCCACTATGACCCATATCACATCATGTTTAGTTGCTGTCATCGGTAACCCCACTATAAAATCCATGGATATACTATCCCATTTCCACTTAGGGATATCCAGGGGTTGTAACTCTCCTGTAGGTTTCTGATGTTCTATTTTCACCTTGTGACAAGTGAGACGCTTTGCCACATACTCCATAATATCCTTCTTCATTCTAGGCCACCAGAAAAGTTCTCTTACATCATGATACATCTTTGCCATTCCTGGATGAAGAGTATACTTGCTCTTATGGGCTTCTGACAGTATCTTTTGCCCAAGGTTGGCTACTTAAGGCATTTTAAAGTTGTAAACTTCAATATCCCCTCCTCAGAAATTTTAATGTTCTTAGTCTCACCTCTAGACAACTTTCCTTTGAAAATTTCTACTCACCAATCTTGTGACTACGCTTCCCTAATTTGATCCTCGAGTAAAGCTGTAAACTATGTTCTACCTCCACTTTCCTCTATCAGCTACATTTGATATAGAGGACCCCAATCTCTGAAATCCTCTACCAGCTTCTACTCTTTGATCATTAGTGATGCTACCTGCACTGCCTTTCTACTCAAGGCATCTGCAACCACATTCACTTTGCTAAGTCTGAAAATCATAATCCTTAAGTAAATCCATCCATCTTCGCTGCCTCATATTCAACTCTTTCAAATCATGGAGATACTTGAGGCTCTTGTCGTCGCAAAACAATTCTATTGTTGCTCTGTACAGGTAATGTTCCCATAACTTTAATGCATAAACTATCACTGCTAATTCCAGGTCATGGGTTGGGTAATTCTCCTCATGAGATTTCAAATGGCGTGAGGTATAAGCTACTACCCACCCTTGGTGCATGAGCACACATCCCAGTCCCTACTTGCTAGCATCTGTGTAAACCATATAGGGTTGTGAAGGATCAGGGAGTACAAGTAGGGGGGTAAAAGTGAGCTTTCTCTTTAGCTCCTGAGAACTAGCCTCACTCTTCTAGTCCCATAAGAACGGCTGGTTCTTCCTGGTTAACTTGGTCAGCAGAAGAGCAATCTAAGAGAAGTCCTTAATGAATCTTCTGTAATACCCCGCTAGTTAGAAGAAACTTCTAATCTCGATCACCGTCTTGGGTCTCTCCCAGTTGAGTACTACCTTAATCTTACTGGGGTTGACAGCTACTCTCTCTCGAGAAATCACATGGCCGAGAAATCAGACTTCCTGCAGCCAAAACTCACACTTACTAAGTTTAGCCACAAGCTACTTCTCTTTTAGGGTATTTAGGACAATTCTCAAGTGCCTCTCATGCTCTTTAGGAGACTTAGAGTATACCAGGATTTGTCAATGAACATATTTTTACTGTTTTGCTTAATGTATGAAAGCTGTATGATGTATGCATATTTGTTAAGTAAAATCCAAGCATGTTATTTATTTCTGGTTCCTCATTATGTGTTCCATTTAGTTATTGCAATGGTTAGAGAGAGAAGAAACACATCACCAAAGAACTTTTAGTTCATGACACAAGGATCCCTCCTGATCCACTACAGTTAATTCTAGATCGTCTTGAGCAACAGTGAAAGACTATTGAGGATTTGAGGGTGGCACAAGCTCACCATGAACAAGAAAGTGAAGTCGCGATAGCAACAGTAGTAGTAGTGGCAGTGGCAAACCTCGATAGGAGGCAGTCAGAAGAAGAAATTTCTGCAACTCAAGCATTAGAACAGTTGCCTAGATTGGCAATGCCAGCAGTAGACCCTGATAACATCTAGTAGTGGATGGCTTGCTCTTGCAAGCGCAATTTGCCATCTTTTGATGGAGTGTTTGATGTCCAAGCAGTAGAGGATTGTATTAACTACCTAGAGAAGATCTTTAAAGTATTAGACTGCGTAACAGAGCGGAAGGCCCAGATGGCAATTTATAAGTTAGAGAAAGATGCTGATCGCTAGTGGAAGAACACCAAACTTATTCTTGATGTTCGGAACACAAGAGTGACATAGGAAGTGCTCCTGAAGTAGTTTTATAAGAAATATTTCCTACGGTCAGTATGGGATGAAAGGGAAGCAGAATTCATGACCCTAAAGTAGAGGGATAATGAGCTGTTTGATGAGTACTTAGCTAAGTTTATATGTCTCTCTTACTACTTTAGCTACCTCCATTACTGAGATGACGAGAGGTGGATGACTGAGAAAATGATCAGAGGATTAAAACAGTCCCTATGGAAGAGGGATGCTAGTCCAGGACACCTGCTCGTAGGTCCTAACCAAGTATTGAAGGTTCAAGGGTGTGATTTTACGAAGCCTACTTAGCCGTTATTCCCAAGCTCCCACCCAAGTGACATAGTTGGCCCTAGTGCTGTGCCATAAAGTACCCCAGTGCCGGTAGTGCCTAGCTCAGTTCCTCCTAAGCCTGAGAAGGGAGATCAGGGTGGTACCTCTTTTAATGCCAATAGGAAGAGGAAAAGTGTCACACCTTACTTATATAGTACCTTAGCAGTCATTTAGAATCATTCCAAACCACTTTGGATGGTCTTAAACTTGAAAATTTCAATTTGGACGTTAATTTTCGAAAAATTACTGTTCATTGTCTAGTTTTCAGATTACAGGTCCAACTTTGGAAAATCATAACTAATTCTAGAAAAATCGTATGGAGGTGTTCCAAAATTCTACAGAAAGCTGTTTCAATTCTCTTTAAGGGAAAAATATTCAACTAAACTCATCCTCATTGAAAACGTACAGTTTAGTAGATTAAGATTACTATTCGTTTGGTAAAATCTGGACTCTCCAGATTCTACGCCTTAACTTTGAAAACTCATATCTCTTTGTATAGACATCCAAATGAGGTGATTTACCACTCATTTTGAAGATTGGGATGTGCACTATAAGTCTGCCAAATCTCATAATTTGACTCATTCATTTGATAGGTCAAACTGAAGATCAAAACTAACTGCTTCAGGACCTACGTTTTATCCTTTAATATCTCCTTACTTTAATTCTTTTTATTTCTTTGACATACATAGCATGGGCTTAATCTTTCTCATTCATACTCATATACTTTCATTCATGCCATAAACATCCTAAGCATATACATTGAAGTAATGGCATTCATAACATAATTTACAGCATAGGAGAATTATACATTGAATAATAATATCAATCATTAGCATTAATAATTCTCCACTTCTTCTCCTTGCTTCTCATGCCATTAGTGCCCATCATTGATTGACCTAAATGGTTGGTTAGGGAGGGGGTGAGATTCGGGGGAATCTCAGTAGCAAACAATACCATATTAATCATGCTAAATGGATGCTCATGCACTACACGCAACTTGTTTGTTCTCTTGTTAATTAGTGACATACTAGCATGCTCAAAGCTAACTTCTTGATGCATGGCCATGGAGACATAATCTACTCATCATGAATAGCAATTACAGCAGCTAAAACATGTCACAATAACATTCAATAACATGTACACGGCAACACACAAGCATACAACATCAAGCAATGACAATAGGTAAGTTCACTACCTTGCACCTCAAGCCTTCCTCTTACTTTTCCTTTGACTCCCTTGACTTTCCAACCATGTTAACTTTTGGTCAACTCATCAAACATTCTCTTGGATGTTCCAAAGGTCCTAAACATAGTCATAATGATCATACAATCTATTAGGACCATTAGATTACATAAAGTTCAAAGCTAGCTCTCTTGAACCTCAACCCTTTCTCGTAGTCTTAGGGTTTTCTTTCTAGCTTTTCTAACATAAATATCATCATTTCTAATCCTTATGATTCATTTCTTGTCAATTAGAACCACTTTAGATGGCTTTAGATTCAAGAATATCAAATCTGGAAATTTTGGTTCGCGGGTACTGTTCACGCAGAATCTCCAGAATTTTTGATCAACTTTCAAAATTCATAATTAAATCTATAAACATCCAAATTGAGTGCTTTCAAGTCTCACTGAAAGCTAATTAAGTTAAATTTAAGGGAAAAATAGTTTCAGGAACCAATTCTATGCTGAGCAGCACCGGAATTGTACGGAACTCGACATTCTTCTAAAAGTTCAACACTGTTTCCAGATTTCAAATCCTAACTTTGAAAAATCACCATAAATCGTACACATATCCAAATGAAGTGTTCTACCTATGGATTTAAAGCTCACAGAGTGTACCTTAAGCATACCAAATTTAAGAATCAGATACACACAGTAACTAATTCAAAATAGGTATCAAATCAGATGCTATAGCCACCACATACCTTGATCTTGAAGCTTGAACTTTGTTCCTTCTTCTTGGCCTTCACCCCTACGTTTTTCTCTCTAAATTTTGGCAGAGTTTCCCCTCTTAAACTCATGTTGGCTGAAAATATGAAGGGGAAGAGGCTCTATTTATAGCCAAAAAAGTTGGCTTGAATGGACCAAAATGCCCTCGGTGGCTAATAGAAAGGGTAAGGGCAAGTTTGGAAGTTCAAGTGGACTTTTGCATC